AGATAGTTTTTTATACAATGAAGTAATCTGCCGCGTACTCCATACATGAACAAGTCACGTAGGATGCCATGCCTCCAAGTCGTATCGTAAGCCTTTTCCAAATAAAAAAAGACAGATACGCAATGCTGCCTATTCACAAACGCCTCTCGTACAACAGTCTCCAGCCGGACTAAATGGTCTATGGTGGAACGTCCTGATCGACACCCACATTGATTTACATTCAAAATATTGTGTTGCTCCAGGAAATAAACAAGACGCTTATTAATCATCCTTTCAAACGTTTTACCCAAGCAACTACTCAGTGCAATCGGTCTGTAACTTGTAGGAAGTGAAGGATCTTTTCCAGGCTTTAGTAACGGAATTACTTCTGCCTGCTTCCAATCGGCGGGGAAGTGTGCATTGTTCCATAGTTAATTGAAATATGTCAGGAGGGCTGAGAGTGACTCCTCCGATAAATGGCGGATCATCTCATAATGTATTCGATCAGGACCGGGGGATGAATGCTTCCGGATTTTGAGAGCCATTTGAAGCTCAACCATTGTATACGGCTGAATATACGGTGCAGAGGCTCCTCCTGCCAAGCTGACTTTCGTTTTTTCTGCATCTGTTTTAAACTTCAGAAACGCTGGAGAGTAATGAGATGAGTTTGAAACGGCTGCAAAATGAGCACCCAACACATTTGCCTGGTCATGTAAAGAGCTTACAGAGGGAAAAAGAGGGACTGTAAAGCATCGGTATTTGCCTTCAACCTTGTGCAGTCGGTCCCACACTTCCTTTGCTGGGACATAACAGCTTATAGAGGACAAATAGCCTCTCCAGGACTTCCTCTTTGCCTGTTTCCTGGTCCAACGAGCTTGGGCCCTATTTCGCTGAAACTCTATCAAATTCATGAATGTTGGATATCTGCGAAATATACCCCATGCCTTGTCCTGTTTTTTCTTAGTATTGGAACAATCATCATTCCACCATGGTTTACACTTTTTGGGGATGCTAGAGGAGGTTTGAGGGATGGAGCGAAAAGCGGCATTAGTGATCTGTTGTGTAATGTATGTGGTGGCTTCATCGTGTGTTAAGGACAAGAACATGGAAGGCTTAAGCTCTGCATGTAGGTTGAATGGGCTCCAGTCTGCCTTGTCAAGTTTCCAACGAGGGGTACGTTTCATAAGGTTTGGAACTGAAACAAGACTCTCCAGAATGATTGGAAAGTGGTCACTTCCAAAAGGATTATCCAAGACTTTCCATGTAAATGAAGAAAACACTGACGGGGATGAGATGGAAAGATCGATAGATGTAAATGAATTGTGAGCTGCACTGAAAAAGGTTGGTTTTCTCTTATTCATGAGGCACAGCCCAGATGTTAATAAAAACCGCTCAAGGACTCCACCACGTGAGTCTTGGCGGGCGCTACCCCATAAGGGGTGGTGAGCATTAAAATCTCCTAAAAGTAAAAAAGGGTGAGGAAGCTGTGCAACAAGTCTTTGGAGATATTGAAGATGCAGAGGAATGTTTGGTGGAATATAAATAGATACAACAGTGATGAGGCGATCCAAAAGAAGGCGCACAGCCACTGCCTCAAGAGGTGTGCAAAGAGGAACCTGCGAGCATGCGACTCCACTTTGAACAGCCACAGCTACTCCACCTGATGCATTTGATGAAGGGCGATCTTTTCTAAAAAACTTATGGCGACGTAACACTGAATTATGATGATCATTAAGATGTGTCTCTTGTAAGGAGAGAGCTATAGGACGCAATTCGTCCATGAAAAAATTGACATCATCAATATTTCGTAAAAGACCGCGGCAGTTCCACTGCATAAAAGTAAATTTAGACATTATTCTAAAACACAGTTAAAAGATTAGTAAATAAGTAAAAGTAGTAAAGGACAAGTAAAAGTAAAACCTTGACTTTGCCGCGCAGGGAAAAAAAGAATGTCCTACGTCACTTTGGAGGGGTTACTGGTTTTTTGCTCTTATGCTTAGATTTAGCTGTCTGCCAGTCCATGTCGTCTTGATCAGACGCTGGCGCAGACACCTCACTGCTGTCATCCATTGCCTCCGCCTCTTGGGACGGGGCTTTGGGTAAAGCTTTGGGTTGGCTCGGAGCGCGGGGCTGCAGGCCCCGGCCACGACCTGATCCAGCAGAAGAGGCAGCAGGTGTGTCGGGCAGGGCACTGCCCGACTCCACCCGTTCCTGTCCCTTTTTCGATGTAGGAGCGACAGAAGAGACATGCCGCTCCTTGGAAGAGGATGCTCTCTCCGACGAGTGCGGACGAGAGCGTCGACTTCCTTCCCTGGAAGGGGACCGCGGAGTGCGGACGGGCACGACAGCTGCAGCTGCCGGCCCATCCTGAGAAGGGGGGGTAGCCTGTGTACACTCTCCGCCAGAACGGAGAGGCTGCTGCCCTGAAGGTGCAGGGCAGTTAGCACTCTTGCTGGAATGGTCGGGAGACCGACCTGCTGAAAGTGCATGCCCAGGGAGCTGAATCTTCAGCTTGGGCGTGGGGGACTGCAGTGGCTTCCCATTGTCTGGAAAAGACGTCTGGGTTGCCACTGCAACTTTCAGTGGTGCAGGCCCCCGCTGCACCACCTCCGCGAAGCCGCCTTTTTGAAAAAACGCAAAGCGACGGCGTGCCTCTGGATACGAGAGGTTTTCCTTTACTTTCAAGGTAAGAATGGCTTTTTCATCTTTCCAAGTTTTACAAGAGCGGGAATACGCATGATGGGGACTGTTGCAATTGACACAGTTGGCGTCGTTAGAGCATGTATCTGCTTGATGGTTAGCCTGACCGCACTTCGCACAAGTGCCTTTGCCTCGGCAGTTCTGGGATCCATGACCAAATCTCTGGCAGTTAAAACACCTGCGAGGATTTGGCACGTAGGGCCGGACTCTACAGTGAAGGTACCCAGCCTTCACAGCCTCTGGCAATGTAGTGGATTCAAAGGTAAGAACTATGTGCCTTGTTTTCCGTTCTTGGCCGTCGCGGCGCAAGGAGATACGCCTTGCCGCTACAACGCCTTGGTCGGAAAGTCCCTCAACTATTTCACTGTCTGAGGAGTCAAGGAGGTCATCCTCAGAAATGACCCCCTGGATCGTGTTTAGGGTGCGGTGAGGTGTAACTGTGATTTTCTGCTCAGATATGGAACTTAAAGCAACAAGGGCAGCACTCTGCTGGCTTGATTCGATTTCAACAAGCAGGTCGCCAGAGGGCAATTTCTTAGCCTTGAATTTCTTTCCGACAGTAGATTCAAGTATCTTGGCTACAAGGAAGGGAGAAAACTTTGATAGTGGTTTTTCAGTTTCAGAGTGCAGAACAAAGAACTTTGGGAACCTAGCAGGAGTAGATGGTGTGTTGACTGTGGTTGGAACTTCGGTGCGGCCCCTTTTCGGGGGCCGATCGAGGAAGGTTTTTGCACGAGAACCCATGACATGGGGAGGAACATTCAGCGCCCGGGTGCACCGCCCACCACGGAGCCCAACAAGGGGGTAGGTAATGTGCCATAGCAAGAAAGGCTTGGCTGACACAATTACACTACCAGTGCTGCCCGGGCACTATACCCTAGTGTAGTTGCAGGGAAAGGACCTGTTTCCACTCAAGGTTGGCCCTTGCCGCCTAAGAAGGTGAAAAAGGAAGGAAGAGAGTGTAGAAGAAAAGAGAAAGAGGTGGGAGGAAAAGTGAAAGAAGGAAGAAGAGGGTAGAAGAGGCGACTGACTGAATCATCCTGTTCGGGCCAAGCCAGGACACCCGTCTACGAGAAGCAGAGGTCGAAGCGGTGTATTGCCTCGCCCGGGGGACCCCGAAGGGTCCAAACATACCCCGGGCTCAGCTCAACCACCAGGGTCCCCTTTTCCCCGGACACGGGTTAAGCCACGCACAGCCAGGCGTGGGTGGGTAAACCCACATAGCTCGGGGTTCGCGGTGGCGCCACTCACCAAGCACCTACCAAGGCAGGTGCCCCCTGCGTGCGGGTATCGTGGCCCACGTGGCTGGGGTCCGTGGTGACGCTACTAACCAAGCACCTAGCACCAAAGGTGCAGGCGCCCCCTGCGGGGCTCGGGGTACGTGGAGACGCCACTCTCCAAACACCTGTTTTCACAGGTGCCCCCTGCGGGGCGGTAGTTGTGGGATGGAGGGATCTTTTCCATGTTTCAAGAGAGGTATAACATGAGCACATTTCCAGCACTGAAGGAACGCAGCTTGTTTCCATAGGTGATTAAAAAACGTCAGCAAATGGCAAAGTGATTCAGGGGACAGGTGTCAAAGCATTTCATAATGAATTTTATCTGGGCCTGGTGCAGCCTGCTTTTTTGTAGCAACTGCTACTTTGAGTTCACCCATTGTGAATGGTTTGTTCTATGAAACAGTGGCAGACCCTAACATGGAGATTGACTGCTTTTCAGCAATAGACTGGAATTTCTTAAACTTTGCGCTGAAATTTGAGCAACTACTGATAAGCTGAAAATGTTGGCCAAGGATGTTTGCTTGATCTTTGAGTGATACAGAGGAGGAGGAAAAGAGAGGAGTTCGAAAGGATTGGTAATCTCCTCGGACCTTCCGCAGGTGATCCCACACTTCTTTCAACGGTACAAAGCTATTTAGGGCTGAAATATATTTTCCAGCGAGCCTTGGCTCTGCTTTTTTAAATTATATCAAGTTAAGAGGCGTCGGATATCGGCGGAAGATTCCCCAAGCCCTATCTTGTTTCTTTCGAGCGGCTGTACACTCATCGTTCTACCAGGGTTTGCATCTCCTGGGGAGCTTACCAGAGGTTTGTGGGATAGACGATGCAGCAGCATTAATTAAACATTCAGTGACATAAGTTGTCGCCTCCTCTGCAGACATACTAGTAAATAAAGAGGGGTCAAACACAGCTTCTGAGCCAAACAGAGCCCAGTCAGCCTTCTCAAACTTCCACCTAGGAAGGCGGGTCGAAAGCGAAGAAAAAGGTATCATCATCATCATCAATGTTTATTCATGTAAAGATGTACAAAGAAATGTCTGATTAGTCATCTGGATCCATAGCCTACATGGCTAGTAATGGATCCATTAAAAAAACATTCACATTTAAAACAATCCTATAGGCATTCACACAATCTATACATAGCTGCACAAATAATATAACTACTAGTACGGAGTTAACAGGGTGAGTTGTACACTTCAGATGAAATAAATCGTTTTAATGAGAGTACAAAATTTGTTGCTAGTTTTATATTACATGAAATGTTATTCCATATCTTCGCACCAATGAACGATATTAAGCGGCGCCCGTAGGCATTATAAGTTATCGGCAAATTAAGGTTATTATAATGTAGTTGTCGGGTTTCACGTTTTGGAAAATTGAATATAGAAGAGTGATATGGAGTATTCTGGGTTAAAATTCTTTGGACTAAAGTGGCAGTCTTATGGTCGCGAGCTAAGTTGATGGGGAGTATGTTTAATTCACTAAAAAGATGCTTAGCTGATGCATGTATAGCTGCTGCTGCTATTATCCTGATTGCCCTTCTTTGCAGAATGGTAACTCTCGCTAGATATGACGCGTAAGTGAAACCCCATGATTCAACACAATAGGTTAAATGAGTATGAAACACACCGAAGTAAATCATGCGTAATGTTTGTTTACTAAAATGTTTCCGTGCTTTCACTAATGAAAAGCATCCGAAGGTTAATTTTTTACATAGCTCGTCAATGTGGGGAGCCCAGTGTAGTGTTGAATCTAGGGTAATTCCTAGGTATTTATAAGTGATAACTTGATCGATGTGTAAACCTCCTAGATGCAGGTTACATGTAAATGATTGTTGTTTCCGATCAGACGCGAAAACAATGAACTTAGTTTTTTTAATATTTAGCACCAGCTTGTTGCAATTAAACCAAGTTATCGTATTTTTCAAGTCGTTATTTGCTAGTAATTCGGCCTCTTCAAGAGAATGATGTGATACTAGTAAGGCTGTATCATCGGCGTATAAAACTGCTTCGGAATGTCTGAGGCAAGCTGCGCAATCATTGATGAAAAGAGAGAAAAGTATCGGTCCTAACACCGACCCCTGTGGTACACCAGTCTTCACTATCGCGGTTGTAGATTGATTATGGGAAATTTGTACAAATTGGGTGCGGTTTGTTAAGTAGCTACGAAAAAATTTGCCAGCTGGCCCTCGAAAACCGTAACGCTCAAGTTTTTGTAAAAGAATGTCGTGATTAACAGAATCGAAAGCTTTTTTTATATCGAGGAATATGCCTATAGTAGTTCTATTTTTGTTGAGGGAGGAATTGACTATTTCTGATACGGAGTGTACTGCTGTGCCTGTAAAGAAGTTTTTCCGAAAACCATGTTGATTAGTAACCAAAATGTTGTATTTCTCGACAAACTTCATTATTCTCGCGGCAATTAGTTTTTCAAATAGTGTATTAATGCAGGACAGAATTGTAATCGGGCGATAATTAGCCAGGTCATTAGGGTCACCACTTTTGTAAATTGGTACTACTCGCCCAATCTTAAGTTTTTCTGGGTAAATTCCCGATAAAAATGCCTGGTTAAACAGTTTTTGTAGTGGGTAGCACAGGATGTCAATGTTGTCTTTCAATAGGTTTACCGAGATTTCGTCGTGGCCCATAGCTTTGTTTGATAACATTTGTCTGGCAACGCCAACAATTTCGGCGGCTGTTATTTCTACGTAAACAAATGTATTAATGCATGGGCTAGGTAGGATAATTTTTGACGTTTCATCTGATACTGCAGCTGAGGATGTACCTATGCTAATGAAAAAGTCATTGAACATTGACACAAGGTGCGCTTGATCACAATTAAGAATGTTCAAATCTGGTAAAATGTTACATTGTTGAGAGGACTTCATTACAAGGTTAATTGTGCGCCATATTTCTTTGGAGCTACCGTTAGCTTTTGCAATACGGCTGCTAAAATATTGCTTTTTACGCTTCCGCATGGTGGATAGCGATAGGTTCCGTGCAACTCTAAACTTTTCCCTGTAATAGTCGTTGTCCTTGTTTTGCTTCATTTTGTTATACCAGTGTTCCTTGAGCTTAATTAACTTCAGTATCTCCTCGTTCATCCAGGGACAAATGGGAGAATAAAGCTGTGCTGCCCGGCGAGATACGAATTTGTGTGCTATACAACAAGATTTAAACAGTGTTGAAAAGGTATCATATGCATTGGTAGTGTCGGTAAAATTGATCTGAGAAAAGTTTGCCTCCTGAAGGGACCTTTTAGTTGCCTCGTAATTCCACCTTGATACACCATGGCCGACTGTGGGTTCTTTTTGAAGGTTCTTTTCTGCATTGGGAGCGACAATAAAAGTAGGGAAATGATCTGCGACGTTTTCTGTTATAACCCCAGCTTTTACGGAGCTGTCTTCAAAATTGGAGAGTATATGATCTATTGTTGAACAAGACGTTAGTGTTACTCTTGTTGGATCTGTAATATGGTTCTGGAAGCCGTAAGATAGCAGGAGGTTCCGGTATTCTGTACTTGAGGGGTCTGTTATATTTATGTTGAAGTCACCACAGATAATCGCTTTGTTATTTTTGTTGACAAGACGGTACAACACATCTTCCAGCTTTTCTAGGAATGCCCGAGTGTTTGATTCTGGCGGTCTGTATATTACACCAACAATGACTCCACAATCCAGTTCCGCAAACAGCATGTCATACAGGCCTGTTTTCGTCTCTGTCAAGTTTGGTAATATCTTATATATGGTTTGTGAAGATATGTATAATGCTACGCCACCACCTCTTGAACTAGCCAATCCTGGCAGGGATAAAAATCTATAATTAGGAATGTTCATAAATTCATCTTTTTTAAGCCACGTCTCCGAGATTGCCACAACGTTGTACCGCTCATCCAGCCGCGTCAACAAAGCGACCAGTGGATCATAGTTTTTGTTTAAGCTCCTAACATTACAGTGTAGAAGGCTTATAGCTTCAGAGCTCGTACACGGCATGGTGCACGTCACACCGTTACGCATTTCTAGCTCGGTGTCTTGGTTTTTGAGGCTATGCTATCTTAGCCAGGTCATCTCGAGAAGCGATGTGAATGACATTCGAATTTTCTGCCTTCCTTGCTAGTATTTTTGACTGCGAGACCCACACATATCTCCAGTTTTTTTCTTTCTTTCTAGCAATTGCCATGCCCAGCAAAGCTTTATATTCTGGACAGAGGTGCTCGTTAACATACACCGCATTGGTATCTGGAAACCCGATATCGCTAGCTGAGAGCCTTTTCTTTTTTGCCGCTCGCAAGACTTTATCTCGCACGGCACGTGACGAGAACCTTACAATGATGTTTGTTTTCGTCCTGTCCTTTGTGGGCACACGATGCACCACGTCAATATCTTTGGGTTCGACGCACATTCCAACTTTGTCCCCTATCTTCTGAACAACTTCCATCAGTGATTCGTTCTGGTTTTGCGGAATCCCCTTAATCTCAAGATTGCTGAGCCTGGTGTATTGCTTCAACTCTGTTAATTCTTTCTGCGTGGTCCCAAGCGATTGTGCCAGTTGCTCTTTTTCCTGTTTTAACGCTGCATGCTCCTTTTTAAGTGCATCTAGTTCCACCTTTGTTGTACGAAGCTCTTCTAAAGTTTCGTTCATGTACGTCATACCTTCTTTTACGTCATCAATATCTTTTCTAAGCCCTGCGTTCAGGTCAGTGACGTATTTTAGCAGTTCTTTGATAGTCGACGGAGGTTTGTCACATTTCGAACAGCGAGCAATCAAGGTCACGAGCGAAAAGAAAATAAGGAAAGAAGAAAGCAACAGGGTTCAAAACCTACAGACCTGCAAGGTATTGCAAAAGCAATCAGCTTTCCCTTCGATGCGCTCGTGCCCGGATTGCTCGCTGTTGTGGTGCTCTCCGGGGCGCGGCCAGCCACTTTATCGGTGCAGCGCTGGATCGCCGATACCGCGCGCAGGCGCGTGTCTTGTGCGTGACGTGGAGATTTGGCCGCTGGTAAAGCAGGCACCCTCAGGGGAGTGCGAATCCTTGCTGCACCTGCCGTTCGGTTGACGCTGCTGGGGCCCACACGACGTTGACGGTCAACTGCAAGGTATTGCAAAAGCAATCAGCTTTCCCTTCGATGCGCTCGTGCCCGGATTGCTCGCTGTTGTGGTGCTCTCCGGGGCGCGGCCAGCCACTTTATCGGTGCAGCGCTGGATCGCCGATACCGCGCGCAGGCGCGTGTCTTGTGCGTGACGTGGAGATTTGGCCGCTAGTAAAGCAGGCACCCTCAGGGGAGTGCGAATCCTTGCTGCACCTGCCGTTCGGTTGACGCTGCTGGGGCCCACACGACGTTGACGGTCAACTGCAAGGTATTGCAAAAGCAATCAGCTTTCCCTTCGATGCGCTCGTGCCCGGATTGCTCGCTGTTGTTTCTGTTTCTAAAATTATGTTTTAACTGTTTCTAAAATTATGGGGAAGTGATCGCTTCCAAAAGGATTATTTAAAACCTTCCACGAAAAACATGGAAGTAAAGAAGGTGATGATATGAAAAGATCTATTGATGGGAATGTTTTATGAACAGAACTAAAAAAGGTTGGTTCTCTCTTATTCAAAAGACAGAGTCCAGATAGCGATAGGAGCCGTTCAATAACTGCACCGCGGGAATCTTGACGAGAGCTTCCCCACAAAGGGTGCTGGGAATTAAAATCACCTAAGATTAAAAAAGGTATGGGCAGCTGATCTACGAGACCTTGGAGTTCATGGAGATGCAATGGACTGTTAGGTGGAAGGTAGAGCGACACAATGGTGATGAGGCGATTAAAGAGGACACGAACTGCCACTGCCTCAAGTGGTGTTTGAAGAGGTACTTGAGCACACCACCCCATTCTGCACTACTACTGCAACACCACCGGAAGGAGGGGGGGAAAGGCGATCCTTCCTAAAAACTTGGTGACGACGTAAGATCTGTGTATGATTGTCATTGAGATGAGTTTCCTGTAAACAGAGCGCCACGGGAAGGAGCTCATCAAGAAACATGTTCACGTCATCAATATTACGAAGTAGGCCGCGACAGTTCCATTGCATGACACCCACATGTTTACTCATAGCATTAAAAAGGTAAAAATAAAAAAAAATAAACTAAAAAACAGAATGAAACATGAGATGACATCACTATGGTTTAAAACCAGTTTTTGCACGTGGAGCGTTTTTCTTTTTCGACGTATCTGCCTGCCTCCCAGTGGAGTCCCTTGGGGCAGAGAAAGGAAACAACGATCCTGAGGAGGGGGGCTCCTCGTCGGATCTGCGCCCACTCTCGTCCATGGGCTCCTCATGCGTCGCCGACGGCCGCCCCTGGGGCATCGACTGCCGTGACGGCTCACCAGGCCTTTTCGGACCAGAGGTGCGGGGTGGCCGGCCCCGACCAGGGGGGGCCTTCCCCTGCTCTGAAGTGGATGCTAGTGAGCCAGCATCCACCCTGGGCTTGGGACCCTGTGCCCCTGGCACCGCCCCTGTGGGTTTAGGAGGGGACTTCAACGAGAGCCGCAGATCATCCGGAGACGTCTGGGTTCCCGTCGATGCCGTCACTGGTCGTGCCAGTCCCCTGCGTACGACCTCGGCATATCCACCCTTCGATAAGAAAAAAAATCGTTTGTTCGCTTCTACGTATGGTATGTTTTCTTTGGCTTTCAGCGTCAGTATTTTTTTTTCTCGTATCCAGAGAGGGCAGAAACGCGAGTATGAAGGGTGGTTACCTTCGCAGTTCGCATATTTTGGCTCATTGTCACAGTTGTCCGCAGCATGTCCTTGCTTGAGCACTTAGCACAAGTGTCGGCCCCCCCCGACAGCTACGTGACCCATGGCCGAACCGCTGGCACTTGAAGGACCGTTGGGGGTTCGGCACGTAGGGTCGGACTTTGCACTGGAGGTAGCCTGCCTTTACAGTCGCAGGGAGAGTGGTGCTGTCAAAGGTTAGGATGATGTGCTTCGTTTTTCGTTCGTTGCCATCACGACGAATATTGATTCGTCGTGCGGCGACAACTCCTT